AGGTCTAAATTATACATTTTTCCTGTTGTTCTGTGTCCGCGGGAAAAATTAAAGGAATAATGAAAAGACGCAGCAAATGCTTGATTGGATCCACATGATTGTGCAACTATATTTCTGAGACTGAATGAATCGTTTGAATCGAATGTTTTTACTCTTTTTCAATATTTTAAAAATGACATGAACCAATAGGCTTAAAGAGAGATCTCATTTATAAACAATTGGAAAAAAATGTCTCAAAAATGAAAAGCTATGACAGAATTCATTGGCACTTTATCTACAGTTTTGAAACACAAGAATTAGACTTTTCGGTTACACAGGAAGTCTACTACGATTTTATCTTGGATTTTCCTGATATTTTAAATTAAATTTTCTAATTTTTTGCCCAAATAATTTGACCCTTGTTGTACTTTACAAACCAACACATTTAATGAATTTATAAAATGCTTCACTTATGCACGTGCTACACTGCATATAGTTGGAAAGTGCTTTGACGCACTCAGAATTTCTGATGACATCTAATCTCCAGATATCATCTGGTTTTTATTGACAGAAGACACCAAACGTCAAACGTTGTAGAAGTTGTTTTGACACAGCTAAATTTTGAATATTCATTACCAATATTAGTGTGTGCTAATTTTACAGATTCAATGGAGAAATTATCCATAAAACGCTTCAATTTAGACCTTGATGACAAACTCAATATATTGAAGAGTTCTCCGTGAAGTTAATATTTCAAAATGCCTCACATGATGACAGGAATCGCTTAGTAATACTACTATGCCGAGCGCACCATTTAATTATGAAACAAGGAGCAGACTGCGAATCTAAGAGAACAATGTGCTGCTGGATTTACTTTTCACGCACATTTAGATACTAAGGAAGTGTGTTTATCAGCCGACGGTGCTATGCCATTAGCGGTAACACTATGCCGTCGGAAATGAAGAACAAGGTAAATTTTAATTTGCGCTTCATGGAATTCGACCAAATAAAATGCAGAGATAATCCCCGAACAGGATAAAATTCCGTATCCAAAAAAAATGAGGATAGTATATCCAACCAATATTTGTAGAATTTTAAAACCACGTAGGTACCTCAATTTTTAACTTTTAAGAATGTCCGTACATACTGCACTTTTCAGAGGGAATATCAATATAATGGCACGAAATTTTCTTAAATAATTTGTTCACCATTCCATGGCTAGCTTCTCACAATTTCAATCCGTAATGTTGATATAAACCCTCTCGAAAACGAAAATACCTACGGAAATTTTGAAATACGCTCAATTGGATATACGTTGTGATGAAGTTCGCACATCATTTTATATAATAAAATGTTCTCTTTTGAGCACTTTGTTAAAATAATCCTCCGCATGATACGTGCCTCTCGACGAGTGCTTATAAAGCTCAAATGTGGTGCTCTCTGACGGTTCTCTGCGGAAGCTTTCGTCAGAAACTTTCAAAGCTCACCGCTAGATCGCGCGCGTATTATTGTCGGAAAAGCGTCCACACGCTCCTCATGCATTTAAATTTCTCATCCATGCGGATTCGACGCATGACTTCTGATCACTCTATCTAATTGTTAATCCTCGGAAATTCCTTAAAAGTTTAAAATTGAGGTAATCGTTTTCTTCATATCCTTAATTGAACCTTTGGACATCACCTATTCATCAGTTTTTAACTGAATTTTGCCAATATTAAACCCAAAAAAGCCATCGTTGTTCATAAATCAAGTAAAAAAACTTTCGCTCATATATCTTAGCCAACTAATTAAAACCAGTTATAGAGAGCGGAGATAATATTTACATATGATATAAAATCCTTACTTAAAATTTACTGACAAATAAGGAGAGAACTAAAAAAGAAACTGGTCAAATGCAAAAAAGCTGTTCCGTGTTTGATACATTTTAACGTGAAGTTATAAAATCATGCTTAACTGAAACTCTGCATTATCAAATATGAGTAATATATCGGAGGAATTATAAAGTAATTCAAGTTTTGAGCAACCACAATCTTCGATATGAGACTATAAGAACTTCAGTAAATTCTTTCATACATTCCATGAGAAAATATTTGTGAAACCGTCCATGATGGCAGAGGAAAAAGTCAAAGCTGTCATTTTGGCGGCACCAAGGGAGTTTTCTTTTTACAAACGTTTTGGCACATACAACATCAAAAATGCAGACCAATTTCACATTATGACGGCTTAAAGTTGGTGACTGAAAAAGAATCGACTTGAAAAAAAATTCTCGTAAATGTTCATCGGCCGCCCTGGAGAAATAGAGGGAATATCGAATTGAAATTCGAATTTACACCCCATATAATATATTGGCGAAAAACTATGCTTCGTGCTATTTGAAACTATTTCTTTGACATTCACAAGACGGATGCCCCAAAAAACTCAAATTTCAAGTCGTCAATCAAACCAAGCAACAGTCAATCTGTAGGTAAATTGGACTGCATTTTGAAAGACGGGATCACTTTTTTTGACTCATCCAATAAAGAACTTATTTGCATTGGGAGACTGTTGTTTTAAACTGAGCCAGAAATATTGGTTTCTCTTATTATAAATTGACGTATTTCTGCCAAACGGAACTGTGTGCATTAAGTCATGAGCCTTGAAACCCATAAAGATACATGCATAACAGGACTCACGTCACAATGCACATGGTTCTCTTTGGCAGAAATACGTCAAAATCATAGTCTAATTGTCCTCCGTGCGTGAGGGAAGCTTCTTGCCCCTTAGTGATCACATTTTATGGGAAAATATGAGTATTACAATTCACTTAATATTTGTTGGCTATTTGGTCTTATTACAACTACTAAAAAATACGGAATAATCGTCCGTGTAGTTTAAACGTTGAAGGAACTTTTGCTTGAGATTCCTGGAGCTTCAGTAAGTAAGCTGCCAGGATAGAAAGAGGAATAGGAAAAATAAGTTTAAAAATACAAAGTCTCTCAAATCAGAGTTTGAGTTGATACATTGGTATCGTCAAGCAACAACAGCCTTTTTGTGAGATTCGCAAGAGTTTCGCGACGGTATTTCTTTAAATTGACCCTCGACCAAAACTCTAGGGTACCGGCCGCTGATTTAAATTTTAATGCTTAGTAATGTAATACTAGGGCTAAGAAAAATGACCCTGGACTTTGAGCACACCTGATACACGGCTGTCCTTGGATCTTCAAGGAAAAACATGAGAGTTGGCCCACGCTAATAAATTAAATAGTTTTTGTTTTTTACAAACGCTTCCAAATATATTCAAATGCCTGGAATTCGGAGGTAATACAAAATTTGTCACAGGAAAAAAAAAATAAAATCAAACTACTCATTTTAGTTGATTGGATGTCGCATCTACATTCTAGCGTAATTTCTGCACCAACGAAAAAAAAATAGTTTGCTAAACCAGATATCTGGATGTATTTATGAACCATACGTTTAGTTGAGTTACGCATGATTCTAAGACTTTGAGTCAACCGTAATGCTGGACGGTTGTCTCAATTACTATTATGGTTAGTTCAGGAGTGGTTCTGGGCAGATCAACCAGAAAAATTTAGCCCCAAGATACTTCCAAAATGCTGGTTGCACGAACTAGTATTTTTTTTTCTAAATGAGCGGGTAAAAATTCTCGAGTTTTTTCTTGTCAATTTGCAAATTGGAGACTTTTCCCCAATTTCTGCAAAAAACTATTCACTAGCCTGTGATGAAATTTGAAGAAGTGCAAAAACTTCAAGTTTAAAAGGTACAAGGGACAAAGGCTACTAATTCCTTACAGCTGATTCAATTTGACAATACTTGAGCTCATTCCTACAACAACATCTTCTAGAAAAAAGTTTGCTTGCGCCAGCACTTCAATGATAGATCGCCGTAAAATGCAAAGGGAAACATCAGTTTCCTGCTAAAATTAATCAAATCCTCATGGATAACGAGAGTGCAAACTTCAAAAAAGGAATCACATCGACCAAAATATTTGTTGAAGAGGGTAAGATTGCCAATGTAGTGTATGCGAACTCTCTATTTTGCCCACAAAATGGCACGTCTGAGCCGAAAATCACATATAATTCAATTTTAAAATCGAATTTTTTTTTTTTTGGAGGGGGCAAACTTTTAAGATGAGGAGTAAAATTTCTATTTAACTCCGAAAATGCACTGAATCTGACCGAAATTGTGGTCAAACCAGTGCGGAGCAAAAGAAATCCTCACTCGGTCCCTTCAAAAGGCGCACCTGACCAAGAGATGAGAACCCGAATCGTAACTGGAACCAGAGAACCAATAAAATTGTCTTTTACAGTCTTAACCAGAACCAAAACCAGATTCTCAAGTTCTGTTCATGAAATCATGGCCAAAAAGGAAGCCTCAGGCCAGAGAACCAAAATCTCACAGTCTGAGCCAGAAATCGGTAAATTCAAAAATCCACCCAAGTAAAAATAACTAGACTACTAACTACAGTTGATTCACCATTGTCATATTGCTCCCAATTTGACACCATGGAAACTGGTTTAGGTAAATGCACATCACTCGACTCCTTGAAGGTTTCCTCGGCGCTTTTGAGCCACTAATGAGAGCCCGAACTGGATCGGCCGTCTTTTAGGGTCAGAACCAGAACCCGAACCGGTACCGGATTCTCCAGCTCTCTCGGAACTGGAACCACGACCAGAAACGCGGACATAGGAACCAAATCTAGCTCAGAGTCCGAGCCAAATATCGGTAAATTCAAAGGTTCACCCAATTAAAAAGAAAATGGTGAAATGATTGAGAAAAAATCGAGCTACAATCCAAAAATAAATGAAACAAAAATTATTTCAAACTACATAGAGATGAGAAATAATAAAAAACTTACAGGAAACAAAACAAATGTTTACGCCGCCAACAAACTGCGGTCTTCTTCGGCGCAACAAGTTAGTTTGCTTAGTTTTGTAGCTTGTGTGTATATTTTTTTTAATTTTTTTTTTTTTTTTTTTTTTTTTTTTTTTTTTTTTTAGATTTTTTTAAATTTGTTTTTGTAAAATGTTTCCACTTGTTGCACTGAAGAAGACCGCAGTTTGTTGGCGGTCGAAACATTTGTTTTCCATCCTATACATTTTGTATTATTTCTCATCTCTAAGTAGTTTGAAATCTTACATTTTTCAATTTATTTTCGGCCTGTACCTTGATTTTTTTTCAATCGATACCGTGTTCTATGCAGATTAGCCGGCCAAATTTGGCATTAAAGTGTAAAAAGAAAACTAGACTACTAATTACAGTTGATTCAAGGTCGTCGTATTGGTCTGCTCCCAAGACGGCTCTCTAGAAATGGGCTTGGGATAATAGACATTAGCCGGTGGCTGGTATATCCTCGAGGGCAGCCTCATACTCCTATGAGTCTTAATGGCGGAATTGCCATTGATCCTACCGTTGCGCACCAACGAGGTATTCGACCGATGGAGATGACACGTGTGAGTGCTCCTCAAGGAGTAAGATCGGCCGTCGCCGTTGGACACGATGCTGTCGTCGTGGGTGGCGCCATCTGGGGACTCGCGCCCGGAGAAGGCGGCGTTGCAGAAGAGGAACCCGCCTTTGGGGCAGAAGTGCTTGATGAAGAGGCGCTTGAACTTCTCGCCGAAGATGACGTAGATGATGAAGTTGACGGAGGAGTTGATGGTAACGAGGAGGTTGGATGTCTTGACGAGTTGGTCGATGATGAGGTCGTAGAAGGACTCGAGGACGTTGTTGACGAGGGCCAGGAAGTTGCACAGGAAGAAGACGACTACGACGCAGAGCAGCATCGTCGCCAGCCCGATCTCTTTCTTCTGCAGACGGGAGAGCCGCTGTCGCTCCTGATTCGCCCGTCGCACCTGCAACAAGTAAGCCATCTATTTAAATGCTTCGGCTATTGCTGACTATGCAACAACGTCGGATGAGCAACTTTTTTGTCTTGTTTTTTGAAGTTGTCCTTTATTATTTAAAAAAATTAATACGATACAAATCAAAATAAGTGTGATAAGTTAATACAGGAAAAAAGTTACAGAATAATGAAAGAACAATACGACGGTGAAACTACCAAACCACGTATCTCGTTTGCGGTGTTTAAAAATCTACGCTCGCATTTTATTTTTTTGAAGTAGACCAAATCAATATCATTCCTTGAAATTTTCACAGAATTTTCTCCGCACGATGAGGAAAAATCACAAAAATTTTCGAGACTGGACGTTAAGTAGTTTTTCATTTAAAAAATAAAGTATGACAGGAAGTCTGCGACGTCGCAAACCGAGATACGTGGTTTGGTAGTTTCACCGTCGAATAGTGAAGTTACATTGAGACATAAAATAAAAGAGAGAAATTAAAGGGAGAAAGGGGTAAAGGACGCCGGATTTGCACTGGCATACCATCGGCGAAAAACCCGGAGAGAAAGAGGAAGAAGTAGTTAATTAAATGTGAAATAGATAAGAGAATAGGATGAGATAAGAAGCATTGAGCGAGAAATGATGAGCTACTAGGGAATGATAAATTTTCATCATTAAATACACATTTTTACCGAGGCTTTTGGATATTCCTTCTAAGATTTTTATCTTCCTTCTTTGAAGTTGTGCTGGTCACAGAATCGTCTTTTGATTTTTGATTCTTGTAGATTAGCAAAAAATAATAAGCTCCATCCAAACCGCAACTTTCTGCGGTCAATATTAACCGAGATATCGGACTTTGAAAATTCAGGTTTTTGACCGCAACAGTGTGGTCTTGGTTTCCTCCTCATACGTTCGATCAGTGATGCAGAGGATGCAACGCGAAACTTCAACGACGTTAAACGTAAACAAACTGAGGTGAACTAACTGACCGCCTAGTCTCTTCGCGGCGAGTGCGTCATGTCTTGATAAGAAGATCAAGTGCAAATCCGTATGTTTCTTGCGTTTCTTTACGTGTAACGCGGTAAAATTTCGCATTACACCCTCTGCATCACTGATCGAATAAAAGGGGAGGAAACCAAGGATGTCACTGCCGCGATAGATGAGGTCAAAAACCTGATTTTTCAAAGGGCGATATCTCGGTTAATATTGAACGCAGAAAGTTGCGGTTTGGACGGATCTTATTATTTTTCGCTAATCTACAAGAATCAAACATCAAAACTCGATCCTATGACCGCAACTGATTAATTGCATAGGTTGTGGCCACTTAGTCAAATTGAGTATTTTGTCCAATGACTAAGCAGATAGTCATTTGGAAATTTACGAAATTATGAAGATTCGTGGCGAAGAGCGCACGATTTTCCTATACTTTGGGGACAAATAGCTCAATATATTTTAAAAGTCGGCGCACAGATTCACTATAAAATTTACAATTATTTTACGAACGATTTTAATTGAAATCAAGGGAAATTTCGTCGCAAAATTGTATTTAGTCCAATTTTCCGTTTTTCTTTTTACGGAAAAAAAACCACGGTCCCTGCATATAAATCGTAGCTATTAGGATCGTTATTTTTGTTTTTTATGTTGAAAATTAGATGGGAGTCTTAAATAATGACGCGTCGTCTAACTGTCGAAGCGATTTTAGCGTTCGTACCATCCGTCAGAGTTTACAGGGCGGCCAAGACATCTTCGCAGTTTGAAGCGCCTTCGATCCATCGAGGCTGCAACATGCTTACACCCGTGGTCAAATAGTTGTATGTCACGCCTGCCGTAAACGAACTCAAATATCGATAGTTCCGAGCAAAAAGGAGCTTATTTACCTCGATTTCCACGTTGCAAACCATAGTTAATGCTTCAATTTGAATCAATGTTTTTTAAAAGTCGGCGCATGGATTCTCTTAAAAATTTACAATAATTTTACGAACGATTTTAATTGAAATCAAGGGAAATTTCGTCGCAAAATTATATTTAGTCCAATTTTCCGTTTTTCTTTTTACGAAAAAAAAAACCACGGTCCCTGCTTATGAATCGTAGGTATTAGGATAATTATTTTTTTTTTGTATGTTGAAAATAAATCATAAATAATGACGCATCGTCTAAGTGTCACAGCGATTTTAGCGTTTGTCCCATCCGCCAGAGTTGGCAGTGCGATCAAGACATCTTCGCAGTTTGAAGCGCCTTCAATCCGGCGAACCTGCAACATGCTTACAGCCGTGGTCAAATAGTTGTATGTCACGCCTGCCGTAAACGAACTCAAATATCGATAGTTCCGAGCAAAAAGGAGCTTATTTACCTGGATTTACACGTTGCAAACCACAGTTGATGCTTCAATTTGAATCAATATTTTTTAAAAGTCGGCGCACGGATTCTCTTAAAAATTTACAATAATTTTACAAACGATTTTATTTGAAATCACGGAAAATTTCGTCGTGATAATATTATTAGTCCTATTTTAATTTTTTTCTATTTACGGAAAAGAAACCACGGTCCCTGCTTATAAATCGTAGCTATTTGGATAGTTTTTTTTTTTTTTTTTTTTTTTTTTTTTTTTACGTTGAAAATTAGATGGGAGTCATAAATAAGGACGCATCGTCGAAGTGTCACAGCGATTTTAGCGTTTGTCCTATCCGCCAGTGTTGGCAGGGCGATCATGACATCTTCGCAGTTTGAAACGCCTTCCATCCGGCGAAGCTGCAACAGTGCCTATTTTTTGCTTTTGAATTGTTTGATAATAATTGCTTTCCAAAGACATAAAAAATGAAGCAGCGCAAAGTGGAGGCTAATCTCGTTCTTAGATCACTTAGAATCACGTTCGGACAGAACGTTACTCATCCTTACTTTAATTCCCTGGTAAAAATTGGCAGTAGAATCCGTGTTCCAAAACACCATAGACCTAAAGCCGGCTTTTAGATTTTCAATTGCTTCTATAGCCGGCTGCACAGTTTCTTGTAGCATTTATAGCCGATGGCGATTAAGCAACAGCCAGGCGATAAATTGTATGCTAAATGTTACTAATTACGGATGGTAGGACTTAGTGAGTTTTTGGACTACCGCTCTATTTTTGGGCCGTAGTATCTTGATATATTTTGCGCGGAAAGTTCCGTACTTTTGAAGGATGCTTACCATTCCTTATATGATGGAGCGCCTTCAATTTCGTATGATACTGTGCATTAACTCCGGTGTGAAATAGTTGCTTCAAGCGCCGTGGCACGCTGCGGTGCGGCAGGCGGGCAGCCAGCGCGAAACGCGCATTGGCGCCTACAAACCTAACAGGGATACTTCACGCGTTACGCAATGCGTGAAGTATCCCTGTTAGGTTTGTAGGCGCCAGTGCGTCGCCGCTCCGCTTTGTGCTAGGCTCTAATAGTTAATCTGGCGGAGTCAGCGTTATTCAATTCATGATTTTGAAATGTTTGCACATCCTGTAAGTATTATTCTCATTTTAATTGATGAAAAAAAAATATGTATTAAAGGAAAATATAATGTGTGTTTTGTAAATATTATGGTGGTTCCGTATCAAACTTAATAATTTCCAAAGAACACGAATTTCTACACAATCTTATAGCCTTTTATAGCCGATGGCGATGAAGTGTAAAGCCCGGCGATAGGAACTATAGCCCGGCTGTATGTGTACTTTTTTATCGCTTCGTATAGCCCGGCTATACGATTTGCTCCGCTTTCTACAGCCAGCTGTATGATTTTCTATTGCCTTCTTTAGCCAGCTATAAGAACTCCTATGGTACTTTGAAACGCAGCTCCTATTGCCAATTTTTACCAGGGTTGAATTTCTTTGCAAAAAGGAACCAAGAGCATTCCAACGTTGATAGAATTGTGCAGCTTACATTCTTTGCAACACAATTACTGATATCACTAAAAAAATTAAATTTACAAAGGTAATTTCCGTCATGAATTTATAGTTTATTGAAAGTAAAGATGAATTCTCTTCAGATGATCAGTTTATATTTACAAGGTAAACAAAGTTGCTCAAGCTTAGCGATCCTGGAATGCTCTTGCTTCCTTTTTGCAAAATGCAATCCAACTATTTTGCGAGGAATAACCCCACGTATCGAAAAATCTCTCCGCAGTAAAAAGAAAAAAACATAATGATGTCACTCACCTGGCGATAAATAGCAGCGTTAAGGATGGCCAGGGCGGAAAAGGGAAGGAAGTATATGAATATAAAATAGAACCAATGGATATACAACGTGACGTAGAGGGAACTCTCACGAAGCCCGGAAGGAATCGCCCGATACACGGTCGTATTATAAGCGGCGTAGCCCTGCGGCTCCTCTATGACGTCCACCTCGAAAAAGCGCGAGGCGTTGAAGAGCGTCGCCATAAAAATAATAATAATAACGTAGATCTTGGCCCGACCGTAGGTACAGAGCGATCGCGCCCGGAGCGGTAGGCACACGGCCACAAAGCGCTCTAACGTCACGGTGACGGTGAGATACACCGAGACGGTCTGGGCGATGAGGGCGATGGGGAAGACGGTCGGGGCGATCTTGGGGTAGATCTTCCAGTAGTAGGTGAAGAGGTAGCCGGTGTAGGGGTAGACGGCCGGGAGGCCGAAGAGGAGGATCGAGGTGAAGATGAGGACCGTGTCGCAGCGGGCGAGGCCGATGAGGAGGTAGTTGATGCTCGACTTCATCTGCGGCTTCGAGAGGATGATCATGGAGATGATGTTCCCGACGAAGCCGAAGATCCCGACCAGGTTGAGGAGGATCCCGTGGGCGACCAGCTCGAAGAGCATCTCGTTCGGCGAGACCGACTTGGTCAGCGCGTTGATCTTGTCGTGGTTCCCGTTGATCGTGTCCGCGTCGAACACCCGCTCCCGCAGCCAGTAGCCCTGCAGCTCCGAGTAGTTCCCAGTCGTGTTGTCCGGCCCGTCGGCCCCGAAGATGAACGTCGTCATCCCGATCGAGAATCGACCCCGTTTCCTAGGCGACGCGCTTCGTTTCCTCGACGACGCGTGATGCTACCTTGACGACGCACTCCGTTTCCTAAGCGACGTGCTTTGTGCTCTAGACGACGCGCAGCGTGTCCTAAGCGATATGCTCCTTGTTCTAGGCAACGCACTTCGTTTCCTAGGTAACACGCCTCGTTTTTCAGGTAACAGGCTCTATTTCCTAGGTGACGCGCTTCGATTTCTAGGTGACGTGCTCCGTTTCCTAGGCAACGCGCTCTGTTTCCTAGGCGACGCGCTCCGTTTCCTATATGATGTGGTAGCAGTTCAGGATTTTGAACCATCGTTCGACCGCATGCCCCATTCCGAAACGGGCGGGACGCGGCCCTTAAAAAAGTCAGCGAAAAATTAAACTATTCCTCGCGTGTTTCATGATCACTGATTATGAAAAGTTCGAGGACGGTCTCTTAACTAGATACAGTTTTTTTTTTTAAAGGATAGATTATCTCGGTACCTCTCGTTTCAATTCATTACGATCGCGAATATGATAGCACCTGAGTAGTCCCGATTTCTTTCATGCCATCTACACGGTCGATGCTGAATTCAGTCCTTTCCAGTTAATAAAGGTTCGTAGCTAGATAGTGGAAACGAACGGTTTACACGTTCTCGGCTTTCAAGAGCTGCATGAATGGCGGTAGTATTTTCCGACGGGAATTTTCCCGGAAGGCGCGTATGGGTATCGCTGGACTTCCGGTTTCGGATGGAATGTATCACGGGTTATTTGGCGCGGCAATTAATAGGGACGGGACGGTCGGGGATCGAGGAAGGGTTATGAAATATCTGTGCGGGATTCTGGAGCCGGGGACGGAGGGTGGATTCCCCTCGGGCGATAACGGTGGTGGGCTGCCTCCTGGCTCCTTCCTCGAGAGCCTTTCATTCTTCCTCGAGCTTGGGCTCCTCCGGCTCCTGCAATCAAAACAATAAACATTGAGCGAACCCCATCCGACGACAATCGCGGACAATGCACTAATGGACTCTTTGTCACTTGAACTCCATCCCGGGCCCACGGGCCCACGGGCCCAGGCGACGGGAACAACTGTTCGATTTCTCCCGCCAGGGTTGCCGTCCCCGCATCCCAAGTATAGAGTCCCTTTATACTGAGAGTAAAGACATTCCGGATCCATTTCTGATTGGTTCCCGTATTTAAGGCCTCCGCAGTGTCACAAACGGGAATAAAAATTACATTTTCACCGATCACTGGAAGAAGAAACATATTGGATCTAGGGTCCAGACTCTTAAAAACATCGACAAAAAAAAGTACTCTTGATTCAATCAGAATCTAGCTTAAATCAAGAACCAAGCCTCTTAATTTAAGCGGATTTCGTTTCGATTCAAGCAAAAATCCGATTGAATAAAGAGTAATTTTTCTTGTTAATGTTTTCAAGAGTCTGGACTCTAGATCCAATGTGTTTTTTTTTTCCAGTGATTGAAAAGATTATCAATTGGAATGGACCGGTGACTTAGGGGCACGGCCAGGAACAAAAGGAATGAGAGAGGGAATGGAAACAGGAATTCGGGACTGGGTTGATGGAAGATTACGAAAATCCTTCAATTTGTGTAATCTTTATTTCCGTTTGTGACATATATTAGCCGCGTTATCTCAACTCTCCCTATAACGGGACTCTGATAGGACATCACATCGCTCTTTGGCGTAACGGCATATTGTGATTTTCAAATGAGCCACAGAAATTATGTATTTAAATTTAAAACAGCGCGCTCATATGGAAATTGAATGTTGAAATAGATTTGTTGCGATAAATTGATTCTTTTTTTTTTATCACACGCTTAATACTCGAGGAGTGAAGTATGGGTTTGGAGACTATTAAGCGCCCAAAAACCTCGAGTGCGCACCAGTAAAGCGTATAGCACTCGGCAAGAAGTTTTTCTCATGAAAGACGAATTTTCTGATGAACTTGTGAATTCTTTTTTTTCTTTCATTTTTTCAGGATATTTTATACTCATTTCAATTGCACAATTCTGAAAATTTCAAGAACAAATATTCATAACCGTCCTTAAAAATAGATATTATATCTGAGAAACTTATTGGCAACTTGTGAGTGTTTACACGAAGTTCTTCATGGAGCAAGGCATTTTTTATAAGATCGATGTATTTCACATTTTCATCACATGGATCACTCCGAAAAAATCGGAAGCTCAGTCTCTAGATCAATTACCTATTGAGTAAATTTCGGGTCGAAAACTATCTGAACATCTTTCAATAGAGTCAAAAGTACTGGTTCCAATCGATATTGATACTTTCGAGCTCGGTTGCAAAATGGAAACCGTATTTTTGACTTTGCTGTAATAAAATTAATGATATTTTCGGCATGATCATTCCTTCATGATTGATCTTGAGACTAAAGTATCGAGTTTTTCAAATCAATCAATTTAATAATTAAAAATTAAAATTCATCAATCGTATCCTGATTCCATTGTGCCAAGGCAGAGGATCCTTTTTCGTAATCAGCCTTAAAATGTTTTCCATATTGTACTCGCAGCTTTTTTGCAGATCTTAAATAAGATTCATGTGTTAACTATCATAATTTTCGGTGAAAAATGCAACAATAATAAAATTAGGACGGTCCATCTGCATAAAATTAAATCTGCGCTGTATACTCCGGCCGCAGTACGAGCGAGGCTAAAAAAATACTTTGAAGTCAAGGACAAAAGTTTACACACTGCGAATGCGCTTATCGAAAGTTTGGAGTAATTCCACGAAAAGAGTAGCCTTTTAGCATCAGTGAAAGTTTTTAGCGACTTCGTCATCCGGAAAATTTAGGGCAAATACAGCCCAGAGAAAAATAACCGGAATTAGGGATGCGAAAACATTGGAAACGTAATATTTTCCTGCAATCATTTTCTGCATCCCACTGATTATGTAAAAGTTTTAATGGTCTTTCATTTCGACGAGAGTGGTGTTCCGCAGACAGAGGAAATATATCTATTTCTCGGAACATTTTGAGGCTAAAAATAATCCCACTGTCGGCGTGCAAAAATATATTGCCGATTCAATGGTTGTAAAAAATCTTCTTTTCATTATTTAATTTTAAGCGTGCCAGTAGGGCTCGCTTTTTGAAATCACTCGGATGTACCATAGTACAGCACACCGATCAACCAATGCTATTCAACGGGCCGTCCAAATATTTTTTTCCTCGGACCCGTTTTCTTGTCTTTGAACCATTATACTGTCAAGCCCTGATGGTCTCTTACCAAAAAACCGAATGAACTGCTAATTGGGAACCCTTGAGAACATTTTCCTGTCAAAACCGTATTATTTCATTTGACAAAAACCTCATAGAAGCTTTCTTACGCTCGGAGGACTCAACTCTAGAACCTTCTTTCCCGCCAAAACTGTTTAGCCAATGAGCGTCTTGCACTGCAAGGGCAATCTGTGATGAGCCTCGTGACTCTTTATACCATGTACTAACCGTGGCCCCTGCAGAAATCCACTCAAACCACTGCAGTTATCTCACGATATAGCTTTGGGTGTCAGGTTTCGAGCAAGGCAATAAAAGACGGCGAGGAGAGGGTCGCCTCGTCGAACCTATTATCTTCCACGCCCGATTAACCATTCACCGTGACGCCAGGATCCACCAAATTTTCACAAAAATTGTTTTCCGTCTATTTAGCGAGTTTTTCCTTACTTTCCGTTAAAGTACAAATAAAAAGAGACCTCATTTGTAAAAATCGGCCGAATAGGAGAGAAGTTACAGTTCGAAATCCAAACAGATTAACTCAACGCGATTTCGATGCACGGCAGTCCGCCCAAATCACGGTCGTGCGAAATGCCGCATATCAGCTTAAAATCAAGATAATGGACCACTAGACAAGGTACGAGTTAAAGGATTCTGATACTTGATTCTTAACCAGAATTTTACGTAGAACACGATACGCGCATAACGAAAACTAATGAAACAAACTTCAAATGAAGATATTAACGTTTTTATTTCACATTGGTTACGAGGAATTTGAACTGCCCGCTCTCAAGAAACTCAAAGCTCTACGTGAGCCAAATCGCGCACTTTAACGGTTTCGGCAATCTTCTCTATCGAGCAATGTTCATTTCCCACCATGTGTCGTTCAAACTATGAGCAATTTGCTATAGCTGAGCCAAAGCGACAAGTTTGAGGTTTCCAGATTTTTATATTGCAGAGACGTCATGATAAACGTTTAGCGCGCGATGTGAATCACGTAGAGCATTGAGTTTTCATGAGCGGGTGGTTTGAATTCACGCATCAAGAATGATTAAGTATCTTCGTAAGGCGTTGATTTCGGTTAATTTCGGTAATTTTTGTTGTGCGTATCGTGTTTTACGTGAAATTTTGGTTAAGAAGCATGTATCAGAATGCTGAAATTCGTACCTTGTCTAGTGGTCCATTGGACGGAATCTTTAAAATCAATTTACATTCAACGTTCATGAATCAATATTTTCTCCCAAATTTAGCAAAAAGTACCAATTGATTCAAATAACAAAGACGTGAAAATAGTAGGTATGTGTCCAACATTTTAGTTATTCGACACGCTTTTCCAACATATTCATGTTGGATTTTTCTGCTTGTTTTTATTTGTATTCTTGTATTTGCTACTTCTCTTAGGATGTTTAAATAAAATTGACTAAATTTCGTTTGGATCATCAACTAAACTACCTGCGTGGAAAAGCGGAGAGTATTGTAAGGAATCGAAGGCTCTAGGCCGAGATTCTGGTTTTGTAGTTCTGCACCAATTAAACGTTTATCACGCCGATGCTAATTATCGCAATTGGCTGAGGCAGCACGCATACCGCGCTTGCAAACTCCCGACGATTCCTCATTGCCTGCGACATACGTTCCAATAACCACACATTTCTCAAACATTTTTTTATGGAAACATCATATTCCAAGTTTAATTACGAGTTTGAGGTGGAAAATCTAGTTCTCAACCAGGACGATTGTACCAGTAACCTAATTAACCAAGGTCAGGAGTACAGCTCAATACAATAGCGGAGTGTGGAAGGTCCGACGGTCGAATAATAAAGCATCCGTAAATGAAATTCTATTCACATTAAACCGGAGTGGGTCAGAACAGATTGAGTGGCGGGGCATTCATATAATAGTCTATCGTTAGCGTAATTACTGGCTTTAAAAGTGAAACAGATACGATCGGGTTGATGTTGAAACCTCGCATGCTGTTTTACTCTCGACCCTTCATGTCCATGGGAATACTTGAAGATTCGGTATCATCAGAAAATGGATATGATGTGGCCAATTCATGGGGGAGAGGGATTGGAGGGGGAGGGGGGATAAATGCATAGGGGTACGGCGGAAAGGGCCCGTGGGAGATGCACAGGGTTGTGGTGTAAGTGCGTGAAGAGGGAGAGGGGAGAGGGGGATCAGTGGCGCCATCACCATAGCGCAGGGAGACACCAATACAATAAGCGTGGAGCTAAGGGATGGGGGTAGGATGACGGATCAATCAAATGTAGTAGTTTTTCATTGCATGTCAATTGAGTGTGTTTCATTAAAAAATAGCTCGAATTTACTCCCCCCCCCCCCCCCGCTTTGTTGCCGGTTCAACTACATTACCATGAACCAATGGCGGATCCAGAGTGAGTTGGAGGAGGGGGGATATTTGCTGATGTCAAATTGGGGATTTCATTTAGGGTTTTGTTCCCTAAAAATAACGTATCATATTGCAGAAATTCGTACCCTGTTGCTTCCGTCAATGATTTGCCTTCAATTGGCCGGCTATGCAAAATGACTGCCGTGGCGCACGAATAGTGGTATCAGAATTTCGCATTAAGATTACATAGTGGGTTAGAAGGCGTTCATTCTGTATCTTACTGAATTGCCGTGTACAACGATGTACACCGGAAATGTTCAGAATTTTGGAGTATTCAATCGATCCGTAAATTTGAAGAATGCTGGAAG